TTTCTGAAAGCAGAAATATCAGCATCAGTCACAACTGAGTTTTGTAAACTGACAGATCAGTTGAAAGAGCTGCATAAGATGGCTTGGGAGAGTCTTATGAAGATGCAAGTCTATCAAAAGAGCTACTATGACAAGAAACATACTGTGATATCATTTTATGAAGATGATCAGATGTGATTAGATCTTTGTAACATTAGAACAGTGTGTTCTAGCAAGAAATTGGATGTTCTCTGGCATGAATCATGCTGAATTGTGGAAAAATTGAAACTCCAAATCTATTAATTGAAACTATCATCAGAGCTGAAAGTACACAATGTGTTTCATGTGTCTTTCTTAATCAGACACAAGAAACAGAAGAAAGTGGATAGTCAATCATATCACTCAATTTGTGAGACATTCTCTGTGAAGCAAGAGTATCAGATACAGAAGATTGTTGACTTCTGTAAGAATGACTGAGTGATTGAATATCTTATGTGGTGGCAGAGATATGAGGAAAGAACTTGGAAGTCTTCAAAGAATGTGAGACATTTAGATAAGAAGCTGTTTGAGTTTCATAGAAAGCATTCAGACAAGTCTGATCTACATCATATTCTGAGAATGTGCACTTAGAGAGGTCTTGTTAGATTCATAAAGATATTTATAAAGCAGTTAGAGATTGATTCATGAAGCAGAAGAACAGTGATCTGAGTAGTGAATTAATTTAGAAGAAAACTCAGTCTGTAAAAGCATTTACAACTGTTAAGAAGTAGTTCATGAAGCAAAAGTAGTGAATTTACTCTAAAATAAAAGAAAGAACTAGACTATTAGTGGTCAAAGCCCACAGTAACAAAAGAAAGAAAACAAGAGGGCAACTCTAAGAATTGAAAGAATAAGTTTTGTGTGTCTGATAGATGCAGTTATTACATCTGTCTCTACCAAGAGAACTTGTGACACACTGCCCCAATGAAGAATTTAAGTTATCTCAGCATGCTGTACATGACTGCTGAGAATAATTATCTGTTATGATGATCAGAACTTCTTTCTGAAGCTTGGCTCTATCTCTCAGCTGAACAGAGTCTGTTGGATCAGTAAGAGTTGTGAACTGAAGAGAGAGAAAAGCAAGAAGTTGTCTCTCATGATCAGATGAATTCTGATCTGAAATTAAGAGTGAAAGATGACTCATAGTAATCAGTGTCCTGACTGATAAGTTAACAGCTGGGGCAGGAGCTGAGGGAGCAGAAGCAGAAGCAGAAGCAGACACAGCAGACAGAGAAGAAGTTGATGAGACTGACTTCTAGAGAAAGAAAAAGCATTAGCTGGGACTCTCAATATCACTTTGTAAATGAGTTTATGAAGCAGAAACTGTTTTATAAGTCATGTTATGAAGCAACTCAACATATCTTGAGTGCATTGGAGACAGAACCAATGCTTGAGAATGGGTGCAGCATAGAAAAGAGCACAGACTGAGAATGTGAATGTGATAGAAATGAATCAGACTGAGAAAAACAGAGTGATGCATTATCAACAAGAGTTTCAGATTTGAAAGATGAGTGATCACTCTCTCTCAAGATCTGATCAACTGAGACAACAGAGCTAGTAGTTGAAAAAGAATCATTACTAAACATAGTAGACATCATTGAGTGTTTTCATCAAGCTTGAATATTAGTGCTCTGGATATGCCATCAGCCATGCACACAGAAAAGAGGATTATGGAGTGAGAAAACACTTTGTAAAGAATATTTCAGACTTCATAAAAGCAATTACAAAGCATTAAAAGAAGAAGAAATGGAAGAATATCACTTACACCATCATAATCAGAATCAGACTGACTAGACTGTGACATCTAAGAAGAGATCTCAAAGTCTTCAGAGACATAACTCTCTGTTGCATAAATGAAAACTGACAGCAATGATGCCTCTCCACTTTAATTTTCTTGAGAAATGACAGTAGTTGAGAACTCTGCTTCAGATGAAGCAGAAGATTCTGAAGACATCTCTCACATTGCTTCTGAAGAGAATTTTGAACAACAACTGATTGAGATTTTACTTTCAAACTTGTTGAGTCATTGTTGCTCACATTTCAACATCTTAATTTAAATGAAAGAGAGACACAGTAAATTATCTCTCTGCATAATGTGTTAGCACTGAGAAAAGTCTTTACAAAGTCTCTCAAGATTCATAATCATCAAAAAGAAAATGCTTGTCTAGAACTCTTATCAAAATAAAGAAGAATGTTGTTGAAAAAGAAAAAGAAAGAGAGAGAGAGAGAAGATCAAGAAAGAGATATTTATATTCAAGAGATTGCTGAGTATCACTAAATGAATTATGAGAAATGACAGTCACTACAGCAACTACATTACAATCACAGAGAAGCTGTCACTCTTACTATGATCTTACTGTCACATCTACATCTAGAAACTGAGATTGAATTAAGACTCTGCACTGCAGTCTTCTTACATTCATCACATCAAAAAAAGATTTTGTACAAAATTGTTACAATCACAGTGGAGCTGTCACTCTCACTGTAATCTTGATCACATCAACATCTTGAGAATCAAGACTTGTGAAAGGGAAGAAATCTGTAAGATTTCATGCTGCAGTCTTCTTACATTCATTTCATCATTTAAAAGAGATTCATAAAATCTTCTTGATGCTTAGATGATCATGCTTCATGACATCTGAGATTCATAAATTCTGTGACTGATCACATGATCATACTAGTAAAGCTGAACACATAAAATCTGCCACAGACACTTCTTTACAAAGATCAGTGACAACATATCTAGAGACTCTAGATACTGTTGTAGCAATAGAAGTTATCTCTCTTTCTCTCATGCTTAGATCTCTTCATAACCACTTCTCACTCAATCTAACCTCATTTATAAAGGCTGTAAGCCATTGCCACATTATCTGCAACCTCCCAATTCTCACAGCATTTGATTATATTGTCTACTCATGTGTTGTGAAGCTCTCTCTTCTCTTCTCTTCTTCTAAGCATTATATGTCAGTAAGTGACTCTCTTCTCTCTGCTGCTTCAACTCTCATACAAGCTTAAGAAGACTGCTAATTGCTTCATACATATTCTCTTGATTCATTTAATCAGTTATTAATTAATGAGTCTTTCTGCTATCTGCTTGTTAAATTGCAAAGCTGATATATGCAGTCAGAATCATAATAAATAAGCTTCTCTTCTTCTTTCACTGATATTCTCATCCACACACTTGCAAGATGAATATACATACAAGTTCAAGATGTGATCTGCTCAGATTTTGTATGCACACTTGCACATGATCTGTCTCTGAGTAAGCAAGTAAGTTCAGACTTCATATGCATGCTTGTGCATGGTCTGTCTCTGAGTAAGTAAGTAAGTCCAGACTTCATATGCATGCTCACACATAATCTACTTCTGAGTAAGCAAGCAAGCACAGACTTCATATGTGTGCTCATGCATGATCTGTCTCTGAGCAAGTAAGCAAGCTCAGACTTCATACATGCACTCACACATGAATTGATGCAGTACATACATACAGTCAGTTAATAGAATTACAGTATTACAATGACAATTCTTGTCTCTGTTCTCATCTGTCATTCACAATGTAAGTACTCTCTGTATATATTATATGATGTGATATATACATACTGATTGTTGTAGAACTCTGATTTTATATGATCTGACTGTTACTGTGCTAAAATTACTACATGCACAACTCACAAGAGTTGACAATCTCAGTCTGTATGAAATTATACTTACATTCTTGTCACACTTTAGTCAGTTCTGTCACAGTCTGCAGAGTCACATTCTGCTCACATTGTCAGACTATGATGTTGAGTTCATATATGAACAGTTAAATCTTCATCAGATTACATTTCATTAACTCTCATATATCAATGAGATTCTGATCAACTCTTGTGAAAGAAAGTTACAGATTGTCTGCAATTTATATATAATCAGAGCTTTTGATCTCATATTTTTTTTTCAGTGCTGTTGTACAACAGAGCACTTTAACAGAGCATGTGATAATTATAAGTGATATGATCATATAAGTCACTGTTCTGTATGAGAACTATTAAATGAACTTTTAATATATGATTTAACAGAGATCTGACTTTCTGTGTCTTCTGACACAGCTCTCTCTTTCTCTTTCTTTTCTTCAGCTACTGATTCTTAACTTCAGCTTTCAGCTTCTGATGTGACTGCTGACAATTTCATCATACTTAACTAGTCTCATATGATTTAGATTGTATCTAGTCTCATACAATTATAGCTGCAGTAAGTTAGTGTTCTTTTCTTTCTGTGTTCTGCTTTCTACTTTTATGAAAGTTTAAGTTGACTTACAGCATTTTCTCTATTCTTATTTTCTTTGTTTAGATGATGTACAGCATTATTGGCATAATTTATTTGATTTTTTTTGATTTATCTAGCTGTACAGACTCTGTGTGCAGCATTCAGATAAAGAACTGCATCTCTACATGATGTCTGAAATTAGTAGCAGTTGGATGTATGTTGTATATTCAGCAGTGAAGCTAAGCAGATCTATCATACAGATAATCAACTGCATATCATACACATCATCATTATTTAAGTCTAGCAATTTTTACACATCTGTCAATCATCATATGAGAGTCTCATATAACACAAACTCCAACTCATGCTGTCAAGCTGGCTGATAACCAAGTTATACTGAATGAGTTTGTTAGGGGAGGCACTGTGATAACTGGGTTATCAGGGCTTGGCAAGTTATAACTTTGTAACGCGGGTCGGTGATAACTCCATATATCATGAGAAGCTGAGGCTTAATAGCTGCCCCTATCAAAGATGTAGACGCAAACTAGCCGAATCCGGTAAGGCAGCCATGGCTCTCTTTAGGGCAAGGGCAAGGGCTCGCCCGGTCCAGTGACGCGAAAAAGTTTCATGGGATCGCGATCGACTCGACAGCTTCATCTTCTTTCTCCCCCCTCCCCCCCTGGCAGCAGCCAGGAACGGCCCCCATACGTTTGTCCAGCCCCGTTTTACGCGTCAAAATGAAGTACGTTTTAGTATCTGGAGGTATGAATACTATTTTCCTGTGACTGGGGTGGTCCCATCGCTGACAACTTGCCTCACAGGCGTCATCAGCGGCATTGGGAAGGGCGTGATCGGTTGGTTTTTGCCCGTAGCTCCATGTCGCTTGGGTAACCACCTCGTATAAATATGTGCTAATGACAAATACCGATGTGCAGCCTCTTCGACGGGCCTGCTATTGAAGACGATTGGGCTTAAGATGAGTCGCACTACTCCTACTGACGCGGTTTTTGCCTGTTGTACCGCTAACTCCCTCTTTACGTTACCTCGATTAAGGTGGATCCTTATATGAATGTTGATGCGGGAACAATGGCACCCACTGAGTGTGTCTTCCCACCCTCGTTGCAATACAGCACTGCTAACAAAGCCGAAGACACGGCGAAGTGTTTGTTCTGGATGATGGTGGGGAAGTAGACCTTGATCTCGGAAATTACGAACGATACCTTAACATCACGTTGACTCGAGAAAATAATATAACCACCGGCAAGATTTACAAACATGTGATTGAGAAGGAGCGGCGGGGGGACTATCTTGGCCGCACCGTTCAAGTGGTGCCTCACTTGACGGATGCCATTCAAGACTGGATTCAACGCGTTGCAAAAATACCTGTTGATGATACAAACGAAATGCCGGATGTGTGTATAATTGAACTTGGTGGCACAGTAGGCGATATTGAAAGTGCTCCTTTCATCGAGGCGATGCGCCAATTACGGAGACGCGCCGGAAAGGACAACTTCGTGAATATCCATGTTTCCCTCGTTCCAGTGATTCACGGAGAGCAGAAAACAAAACCTACTCAGCAGGCAATCCGTGATGTTCGATCTGCTGGACTAAGTCCTGATTTGGTGAGTGCCCATTGTTAATTGGCCCTAGAGCTTACTTGCTGATGGTATAGATTGCATGTCGATGCTCTATGGCCTTAGAAAAGGCAACTATCGATAAAATCGCGATGTTTTGCCAGGTCGAGCCCGAGCAGGTTTTTGGCGTACATGATGTTTCAAGTACTTATCATGTCCCTCTTCTGCTCGAGAAACAAGGCCTCGTGTCCGTCCTCCGCGATACTCTAAGAATAGGCGACGTCTTGCCCCATCCAAAGCTTGTCTCTCAAGGCCAAGCAACATGGCAACGATGGAAGACGCTTACCACGTCGCAAGAACGGCTTTTTGAAACGGTGACCATTGCACTGGTCGGAAAATATATCAGCTTACATGATTCGTACCTTTCTGTTGTTAAGTCTCTTGAACACTCAGCGATGGCTTGTGGAAGGCAGTTGAATCTTGTTTGGGTTGACGCGTCTTACTTGGAGAAATCGACAGCGACAGAATCCCCAGAATTATACCATAAAGCCTGGCATGAGGTGTGCACTGCTGATGGTATTCTAGTCCCGGGAGGTTTTGGGACAAGAGGTACTGAAGGGATGATCGCCGCGGCAAACTGGGCTAGGACTAAGCCTAAGCCGTATCTGGGCGTCTGTCTTGGTATGCAAATTGCGGTGATTGAGTACGCAAGAAACGTTTGCAAGCTCTCAGGTGCAGGATCGATTGAGCTAAGTGGCGAAGGAACTGAAGACCCTGTTGTCATCTATATGCCCGAGATTGACAAAGTGAACTTGGGTGGTACCATGCGACTTGGTCTGCGTCCAACGATTTTTCAACAAAACACGGAATGGTCTAAACTTAGATCTCTCTACGGGTTGTCCAATGACTCGATTGATGAGCGCCATCGCCACCGTTATGAAGTCAATCCCGATTATGTGGAGCGTCTTACCGACGCTGGACTTAACTTCATTGGAAAAGATGACAAGGGCGAAAGAATGGAGGTTCTAGAGCTCAAGGACCACCCTTGGTTTGTTGGCGTACAGTTTCACCCGGAATATCTTTCACGTGTACTCTGTCCCAGTAAACCTTATCTTGGGTTTGTTGCTGCCAGTGCTGGCGTACTGGACGAAGTAACGAAAAACCTGCACGCAAACGAGTATCTTGTCAGTGGTGTTCTTGCTAGCGGGGTTCAGAGAATTGGGTTCTGACAGAACCAATCAGACTGAATTTGGCCTCCTGATTTTTTCACTAATTGATACTGCTGAATTATCAATTGGACCTAGATGTTATTGGCTGAGAGGTTTTCACTCGAATCATGAGTACACCCTTGACCTAAGAACATTGATTGCGTGATCCTTATTAGTTGACCTTTGGGTACGCCAGAGATGGAACATAACCAGGAAACATAATTAATAGAGGATTACGGGCCACTGACGGCATCGCTGTTTAGTAACTACCGGGCATGCTTCATCTAACAGCATTCTACGCTCGAAGAAAAACTCAAGGGCATGATTAACGCATTCGATGTCAAATCAAAATGTACATTCCAAGAATTTACGTCAATGCAACATGTAGTGCGTTGTAAAATCAATAAACATGATCATCTAAAATTAACCTAGCTTTTGCTTGAGATCATCAATCTCACTGGTCAATATAGTGATTTGCTTGGCCTGAGCAGCAATGGCCTTCGTCTGGTCGGCAATCAGAGTTTTAATTTTCTCCATTTCTCTTAAAATGGAGGACTGAGAATTCGTTGGAAAATCGTCAAGGGTTGGAGTTTCGACGCCGGGTGTAACAACTGGCAGATTTGGGATGTTCTCAGGAGTCTGCAGCCAATTTAATATATGGTTGGAATGTTTGCAGATTAACTAGACTTACCTTTTCTATTGATGGAACCTTTTTTATATCCGAAGATTTTGCTCTCCATAAACCGGGGGGCGAAGAAACTGTTTCAGGTTCTGCGTGGGAAACAGAGATAGATGGATGGGGTTCTTCCAATTTGGGAATTTCTTCAAAACTGTACTTTTCATCTGCATCATCCGTTCTATCACTAGCATCGGCATACTTCGAGACCATTGCGGCCATTGATGCAGTTTGCTCTTTCATAGTACCTTGATTTGCTGCCATGATTACTGGATGGGTTTGCGGTGCGGCTTCTTGCAATGTTTCGGTCACTTTAACCGCTGGTTTCTGCGGCTCTGTTGTCACAGTACTTGTTACCGGAGTGGGTCGAGGTGTAGAGCTTGCATCGGGAGATATCTCCTTAAGACCTTCTCCTTCGTACAAGCTTGCCATGTCGATTTTAGGTGGTAGGCCATCTTTCCCCACAAACCAATCGCTGGAGCTCACGGCAGCCTTAAGACCAGTCGTAGGCGGATAAATATCATCCTGAAAAACCTCTGCTCGGCGAGGTACAATGAAGGAAATGGGTTCAATATAAGTATCGTTTACAGTCTTGAAGGCGCGAACAACCTCATTATCATGCATGTTAACACCACGTTTCGGCATGAAACCGACTCCACGCTGAGGATCTCCGGATTTGTATTCTGACAGATACTCAAATTTGTCGTTTTCGTATTCAAAATAACGGATGTTACCATCTCTATGGGACTAATCAGAGCCGGATATGTAAAATTTGTGGGTTGACATCTTAGCTTACCCTTTTCCAGCGAGATACAAACATTGGGTGCCGTCATCCCAGTGAGGTATGCAGACTCCAGAAATGGAATCGAGAACCCGAAAACCATTAATCGGCTCCCTCGGAGCCCTAACGTCCCATAAAGCCATCTGTCTATCACTCATTCTTGAAAACCCAGTTGTAGCAATACGGTCATGTTCTCCCATCCATACTGCACGGCTGTTTTTAGCGCCAGAGTGGCTCTGGCTTTCATGGATAGCTCTTTCTTGGCGTACGTCCCACAACCGTAGCTTTTTATCACGAGAAGTCGTAACCAAGAGTGAGCCGTTAGCACTCCAGGACAGCGATTGAACGACATCTCCGAGTTTGAGAGTAAGTTTCGAAGATCCGGTTTCGATATCCCAAATTTTAACGGAAAAGTCGCCGGAAGCAGAGGCTAGAACATTTTCAGCCGCAGGATTGAAAAGAACGTGCCCAACTTTCCTAAATTAAACACATCAGCTATTGTCAGCTTGCTGCACTGATTTGGCATGGGGCTTATTGATACCGTGGGTGGCCGCTTAACTTCCCTACAGGTGCAATGTCCGACACGGAATCTGCATCACTGTGCAGGGTGAAGCCGTCTGGAACCCTCCAAAGGAAAATCTGGTGACTATTGAGTACGTATCAATACTAACGGGTTTGTGTTATGTATGTATATACCTTTCCATCCTCGGAGCTAGATGTGATTAGGGAGTCATTGAATGGGTTCCTGACAAAGCGTTAGGCCTAGTAAAGACTGATATGTTAAGCTTGGGCATTGAACCAATCTGTATCTAGCACTACAGCTGTGTGTCCACGAAAAAGAGGAAATCGTTCAGGAAGCTTTCCAGTTTCGCTGAGAGGGATCACAGCAAAGGCACCGCCTCCAGCCGTTTCCCAATTTACAGAGAGATATTGCGGGTTCACCTGTTGATTCGATTAGCCCAGGCAAGGGTGAAAGGTATACTGGAGTTTGAACTGCTGCCGAGAGCGCTACCTTGACAAGATTGGTGTCCCAGGCATTCGTGGAAATGCGAAGGTTGTCATAGCATTGCTCCTAGAGTAAGAGCACAGTAAGCTGATGTGATCTAAGCACTGACAGGCAGCCTAGGTGACGGAATACCTTGCGTGTAGAGCGCCCGAAAACATGGCCTGGAAATCATAAATGAGAGAGTCAGATAGAGTGAAAAGGGGGGCAATAACGGTTCTAATGTGATGAATTACACACGGTATTTAGATGAGCGTACGAAGCGGCCAGCCATGTCGCTACTGGTTCAAGCTTCCAGCTGCAAACTTGAAGGCTACGGAAACGGATAGAAAGCAGGGAAGTAGAGATTGCGGGAATAGTAGCGTTTTCAGCAAGGAAGGGCACACGACACAGGAGAGTCCGTGGATTTTCACAGCAATTGGAGGCGGTTGTGAAATTGAAAATCGGCTGTGGCAGCACTTCAGGAAACAAAATTGCGGCAGGGATCGGTGCTCAAACGTTCGGACGGGATGCGAGCTCCTTTTCTTCGTTGTTGACGTCGCTGGCGAGCTGGCCTGCGTCGCCGCGTTTGAGCGCCCATGACGCCAAGCCACCAGATCATGACTAAGCTGCTCGAGGGACCAGTTTATGTAAGCGGAGGAAAACCGGGTCCCCCTGTTTTGTTTGTTTGCACTCTCGCCAGCTCCATTCTGCCCCAGAGACAAAAATAACAAACACAACCTCAGCTCCATCAACAACAAACTATTCTAGACCGTTGAGATTCAGACCCCGTCGACAAACCCTACCCTGCCTTGCTAAGGGATGGACTGAAATTACTTTCACTACGCTATTTGATTTGAACTCTGGCCGTTCATGGCCCTGCGCACCTAGTACTACCGGCTGAGGCTCGCGTCGGAACTATGGACGCAGAGGAAAATGCGGGCCGAGTACGCCCTCCACCTTTATATTACGCCTTTCGCAGTGTGCCACTGCTGATACCTTACAGTCATCTGCCATACCCCGTCTGACAAGAAGCCAGACAAGAGGGACGTTCAAAGATATTACAACCGCGACTATTAACACTGCTGGCCAAGTGCCCCGTCCCAATGGCTTTCTAAAACGCAAGGGTGACTCTACGTGTAAGCCTCACTTTGATGTCGCCTTGGCAATCGAACATGTACAGAAAACTGAATCCAATCCTAGCCACAGATGTAACATCTAAACGGAAACCAACACCCTCAAAGGCGAGACCTCTTCATTGCAGCTCCAAATCAGTGGGTTCCGCAACAGTTACGTCCCCTCATTCCCGAACGATTTCTTCCTCCGCATCGATCCGAAGCACTGTACGATCATCCCATTATGTTACACGCAGTAACGCCATATCTGCCGCCGCCCCGTGTCCTAGAGACCGGGCTCGCCCGAAAACCTCCTTTGGATATACATCCATGTCGAAAGCCTCCCAGGCTCGATCGGTAACAGCGATGGACACGGCTCCGGTGAATAAATCCATCGTGGATGCTGGAAAACGAAAGGGTGCGAATCCTTCTTCCCCTGTCCACTCTTCCAATCCTCCACAGCCCATGACACCCACGAATCAAGAAAGTCATTACTGCCACATGAGTTTCAAGCCAAATCGGATGAGCTCTCTGGCAACAAAGATTGTTGAGACTCACGAGGGCTGCATATCATGCTTTGATTCATTGTGCGAGATTGTTAGGGGTCTGACTATAGAGTCCGATAAGCCCCCTGGTGTGTCGCTGTTAGATATTCAACGGCCACTATCAGTGGCATCGAGACTTCCCTGTCGTACTTCCCCTTCAAAGTTTCTTTCCTCTTGTACTCCCATTTCTCCCTCACCTTCTCTTGCTTCGTCCATCAAATCCTCAAGGCATTCACGTCGCGCTCCTTCAAAGGTCAATCGATATCTGACACGTTACTCTCATGTTCAAGGTTGGGACCAAGACGAGAAAGAAGAAACACTTGAGGCAATGTTTGGCCGATTCATGCATCAATTCAAGCACTCCACCTCTCATAGCACTGGGCTTCAGGAGGCTATAGACCTTTACAAATATCAGGGTATGTATTCCACCCGCTGGTTCATTAGAATTACATCTGATACATGTTTCTAGTACGGGAGCTTGAGCAGCAAAAGATAGCTCTCACAGATTTGAACGTAAGCCTGCGTGTAGAGATCGATTCAATTAAGCTACGCCTTCAGGCGACGGAGTCCAAGTGGAGGGATGATATTCGTCTACATGAAACTACCGTGGGCAATTTAGATAGCCAACGTCGACATGATATCCAGGCCGAACGACAGGAAGCGAAAGCTAATTTCGATCTTCTCGGCGAAAAACACCAAAGAGAATTATTTGATTTACAACACCGCCTGGAGTCGCGATTCGAGGAAGAAAGGGCCGCTCATGTACGAGAACTGGACCAAATTAATGTTGGATCTGCGCTGCAAAGGCAACGCGAGCAAAGAGACATGGAAAACAAAAAACGTGAGGTTGACTTATTACAAGTGAAAATAGATAAACTACATCGTGATTTGGATAGGGAGGTGATGGTGAACAAAGAGCTGCAAGCAAATTTGGCAACAGCTAACGGGAATACGCTTACCTTGGAGTCGTCTATCCGCGCTCTAAAGGCCAGAATTGAATTTCTTGAGTCCGGAAATAAGGAGCAGTCGGACGCTTTTGCACGGCTTGACCAAGAGCTCAATGATGCTATAACGGAGACAAAGGCAGCCAAGGAGAAGCTACGAAAAGAGGAGACATTACGAAGGAAACTGCATAACCAGGTGCAAGAGCTAAAGGGCAATATCAGGGTTTTCTGTCGAGTTAGGCCGCTGCTAGAAACAGAGCCAAAGGAGGAGAGTGCAAACATTCAGTTTCCTGACTGCAACATGGAGGCTAAGCAAATCACTGTACAAGGGCCCCAGGAAAAAAGTAGCAGAGGCAGTATTACGGCAAAGAATCACGGCTTTTCCTTCGATCATGTCTTTGGGCCTCGATCACAAAACTCCGATGTTTTCGAGGAGCTTAGTCAGGTGGTTCAAAGCGCATTAGATGGCTACAATGTCTGCATATTTTGTTATGGTCAAACAGGCAGTGGAAAAACACACACGATGTCCTCAGAGGATGGAATGATTCCCAAGGCTGTTGCTCAGATATATGAAACCGCGGCTGACCTGGAAGAACGGGGGTGGAAATACACAATGGAAGGCAGTTTCGTTGAAGTCTATAACGAAAGCCTCAACGACTTGCTTGGGAACGCCGAAGACTTTGATAAAAAGCGACACGAGATTCGACATGATATCCAAAAATCTCAAACTACCATCACGAACACCACTATTGTGACTCTGGATTCCCCCGCCACCGTCGAATTAATACTTCGTCAAGCTGCTGCCAACAGATCTGTGGCCTCCACAAAAGCAAACTGGCGATCGTCTAGGTCACACTCTGTTTTCATACTGAAGTTAATCGGTGAGAATGCCATTACCGAAGAGCGTAGTGAAAGCACCCTCAATCTTGTGGATCTCGCCGGAAGCGAGCGCCTGACCCATAGTGGAGCAACTGGCGATAGACTGAAAGAGACGCAAAACATCAATCGCAGCTTGAGTTGTCTTGGCGACGTTATTGGGGCGCTTGGCCAAGGCAAGGAGGGGGGCCATATTCCATATCGCAACAGCAAAGTAAGTAAAAATGTCAAACCAAGGTATCTTCTTTAAGCTAAGTTTGCCCGAGCAGCTCACATACCTTTTACAATTCTCCCTTGGCGGAAATTCAAAAACCCTGATGCTAGTAATGATCAGTCCACGGCAAGAACATTTAAGTGAAACTTTGACGAGTCTTCGGTTTGCGACCAAAGTCCAAAATACTCATATTGGGACTGCGAAGAAACAGACCCGGGTGATTCGAGATTCATGAAGGGCTGGCTGCCCTACATAAAATGCCCTATTTGGTCTTTTAGCGAGAGTACTTATGTTTTTGCTGTCTTCAACCCTTCATGAATTGTGAATAGCTTTTTTTTTGGCTTCTTTTTTACCACTTCCATGTTCCCATGTTTCCAATGACCTCAATGTGGAACTGTTTCTCAATTACTGTGTGCTGACCAACCTTTCAACAGACGTATAATGTTGATTTACTATCGAACTATTCCGTAAGATTATCTTCATTTGCTTTTCATGTAGGCATTTAAACCGGCCCATAGTACGGAGTAAGGCATATCCGGCTCTGTGCACCTCCTACATAGACCATGGAATATGCGACCATGTTCACTCACATTGCACTTAATACCTCGATGATCAAGAGCTCTTGAGCTAGTTAGGTGTTGACTGCTCGAAGAAGGAGTTCTGAAGTTGAATATACGTCCATACATTCATTGAAATCATTCGTCTTGCCCTCTTTAGGTTTTATATATAGTTATAGGAGATAGCTTAGGACATCATCTGCGTTCATGATTGTGAAACATGGATTAGGTCTATTGTAAGGCTTCGGCCAATTGAGAGTAAGATTCAGAATGGAGAGGTGAGATTCAGAATGGAGAGGTGCAACAGATGCACGATGATGGCTCTCCTAATAATCAAATGGTAAGTTGATCTCTCAATTTTGTGCTATGTAGCACAGAGATGCTGCTGATGATGTATATGCGGCCACAAAGGACTGTAGAATTTCTCAAAAAGAGCATTAGGTAGAGCCTCTGGTTTATTTCCCTAAACTTTACTTCGATCTTCATACTAGAAAATGGCCATTATATCCAAACTGGGTATGGGAGAAACCCCAAAGGAGAGTTTGAATTGGAAGTTGGGCGTCGCCGTTCTCTGTTTTGGGTTGCTGGGAGCAAGTAGAGGTGAGTCAATTCCTGCTTGATATAGTGATGAGGGGTTTTAGCGACTGGCCGGCCTATTAAGACATATTCCGGGAATTGATGAGGGTTTAATCGGTGGAACAGTGCAGCAAAAATCCTTCATTATGAGATATGGGTTGGGTCCATCAGAACGAGCGGATAGGCTTGGCAACATCACTTCCATGGTACAAATAGGGAGTATTGGAGGCGCTTTAATGTATGTGGGTTTCAATTGCAGCTCAAATCGTGGATACTAATTTTCTACCATAGAGCATTCTACATAACGGATCACATTGGTAGAATTTGGGCTACCTGGCAACTCTGTTTGGGGTGGATGGCTGGAATTGCAATTTATGAGTGCAAATGGCAGGCTCGGTCAGGTATACGTGAGACGGTTTGTTGCGGGAATAGGAGTAGGTCAAACAACAGTTATTGGGCCAACATACCTTGCGGAGATCTCGCCTCCAGCAATCCGCAGTCTTTGCACTTGCGCCTTTTCAGGAGCGGTATACTTAGCCATCGTGGTGGCGTATTTCGCCAACTGGAGGAGCTCCTTGCATTCGGTGACGGGTCGGAAAATGAATGGGTAAGCTGATGGTGATGATACTTTGATACTTCTTAATTTACAGAATGCTGTAGCTTATTCCAAACTTCTATTATATCATTTTTGCCGGCCTGATCTTACTACTTTCATTGGTAATCAAGGAATCTCCCCGGTATCTGATCAAAGTTGGAAAGGACGCCATGGTGGCAATACGAAATTTACCGGCAGAGCACTCTTATATCCAGACCGAGATGCGCGAAATTTATGAACAGCTGAAGCGTGAGCAAGAGGTAGTGATAGGCACTACGTGGTTCAGTACACTTAGGGAGCTATTGTTGGTGCCCTCGAATCGGTACTGTATCATGCTTGGATTGATGCCCCAAGTAGTAAGTCAATGGTCCGGGGCAACAAGCATCACAATCTATGCACCCGAATTTTTTGCAATGCTAGGGACCACTGGCCAGTCAGAAATATTATTCGTAACTGCAATGTTTGGAATAGTGAAGCTGGTGGCTTCTTTGGTCTGTGCTCTTTTCCTTGTCGACTCTTTAGGGAGGAAACGCGCGTTATCCTACGGCATAACGTTGCAGCTTCTAAGGATGCTTTATGTGGCGATTTATCTGGCAGTCATCCCGTCCATCAGGAGTAGGCCAAAGCTAAGTCGTGCTTCCAAGAGTGCAGGAACCGCAGCAATAGTGTCTATATATGTATCCGGCGTGGGTTGGGCGCTTGGCTGGAATAGTGTCCAGTATTTGATTGGCGCAGAGATATTCCCGCTGCGTGTAAGAGCTTCAGCTGTTTCACTGATTATGTGTTTTCATTCCGTCAATCAATAGTAGGTGCTGTATGAGCTTGAATATTGGTGCGCAATTGCTAACCCTCGCCTTGGCAGTGGTCTAAATAGGGCACTTCCAAACTTACTTCTAAAAACGTCAATACAGCCCCACGGCACATTCTTTTTTTTTGCGGCTGTAACTCTGCTTGGCCTATTTTGGATGTTAATTTTTCTGCCAGAAACAGCTGGAAAATCCCTGGAGGAAATGGATACTCTTTTCAGGCTCCCATGGTACAAAATTGGGCGGGGCCGGGGGCTCCAGGTTTCGGTATCCAGGGAGCTGCGGGAAGCTGGAGGTTCAGATAGGGTGCGACCGCCGAGAGACGGTATAATGAAAAATGCAAAGTAGTGAGAATTTTTTTACTGACTGTTTCTTTTGATGATACGACCCACCTTCCTGGAAGGAAACGGAATAATCATTGACAGACTTGAACAGTAACGTCCAGCAAGAGTCGCACAAACTAATTGCTTATATGTCAACAACTTTCTTTTTCTCAAACCATATGCTCAGGAACTCTTGCTTTTCTTTCACGCCTAAGCCCACACGTTTGATACGGCCCAGCGTTGCAAGCGTATCGCCAACAAGGTTAAGAATGACTTTTGGTTGAACAACAGTGTTATTAGGACTGCATTGATCAATAGTGATGGGTTCTGCGATTCTAACTCGAATGCAATGGGTTGCTTGGCTGAGGAGATTCCATATAAAACTTAAGTAGGACCTTGGAATCGGAGTAGTTATGTCGGCAGGGGTGTAGCGGAGGTTGACAGCGAATATCTTTGTATGACGAGGCGCCGAAGCAATACAAGGGCTAAGTTCGAGGATACCTTGCCCATTTGTGGTAGTGCATTCAGGGAAGACAACAACGCAGCGGTTTGGATTTTGTTGTAGGAGTGATGGTAGATCTGTCAGATTTGAAGTGGAAGAACCCGTTTCAGGAAAGGAAAATGCATAAGTAATGGCTTGAAGAAGTGAAATACGACGTATTTTGGGGGTTGAGGGGTATGCGACAGTAAAAACCGGATCAAACACAGCAGCGAGGTATAGCGAATCGATTGGGGACGTGAATGACGAGGCGATAATGGTGCCTGGGTGTGGAAGCCGAGTGGGATGCTCACAAGCGAGAGACCTGGCCATGGTATGTTAGGAACCGCAATTTTTCTGTGTAGTTGGTCGGCAGGCAGCAAGTTTGTTATAGTTATACCCTTTCTTTACGCCATCAATATGCAAATCAATCCACCAAACACCCCCAATGGCCGCAATGGCCCACAAGCAGAACTTTTTACCCAGGGTACCGATTGGCAGCCATTGCCCGAAGCCGAAATAGGCCGAACACAGGAAAAGCATGAGGGGGAGTCGGATGACAAAGACAGTGGCTCTGATAGCAAGGCTTAGGGGTTGTAGGGAGGAGGACACGGGAAGAAACGGTGCAATGCCAGAGCCTGTAAAAGTAGTCAGTGAGTAATCTAACAAATGGAGGAGAGGAGTTTGCAGACCTCGATCGCGAAATTGCGAGTATTTTTCCATGGCTGAAGCGGGGCCTGGGAGTTGATTTGGTATTTACTTCGTACTCCGTAGAGATAGAGCTCAATGCAGGGCAGAACACTGGACAAGAGCCCAGCAACAACAAATGAGGCTGGAATACGGAGTAGTTATGGAGTACTCCGTCTTCTACCAAGCGTCAGAATTAATTGAAAAAGTAGGTTAATCCGTTTGGCGAGTTATAATACGGTAACATACACCATCGATACTAATGACATGACCTAGTTAATAACGCGGACCGGTGACAACTTCCCACCCGACTTCTAGTTACATCTCACCTCGCGTCGCCCGCCGCAACTTGCACTCACCTACGAAACAACAGGAATTATTTTGCCATATCATTGACTGTTCACCACAGTACTCTGTATCAAACGGCGCTCCGTCCTGATATCTATCAATTGTCTCCAGTACATTACCTTTCTCTGCTATTTTTTGAAGATCGCTTTGGTTTCTGTTACTGTGGCAATCACACCCTTCCCTGAGAATTTTCATCTCCGCTATATTATCGTCATGACTACTAGAGTCGAGGATGACAAAATTGGGCCCGGAGTGGAACTCCGGGATCCCGTCCGCTTGCAGCTACTCAAAAACTTGCAAGACATTGTGGGCCAAGTCCCGCAGAAAGCCCAGGCGACATTTCTCCTGTGTGATATTCAGTATCTACAAGAGTTATGCGAATCTTTCGTCAATCGTGTTGCGTTCGACACTTTTCAGCAAGCCTTTTCCAGCTCAAGAGTGGATGAAATTGTGACCAAATGTTAGTTTGTGACATTCTCTTTCTTAGTAGCTGCCATGGTTGACATATCCATTTTATTTCTGGCAGGGTGTCAATTATCCCGTCAGCGTTCCACTCCCTCCATTAGCCAATCAATCCCGCTATCAGAACAGGCTGCAGAAGCTCAAACTTCTAACCAAAAACGGAAAAGGTCTGACACTCAAAGCTCCGTATACCGTCAAAGACGATTGAAAAATGTTAGTGATGAGGTCAGTTCACCTTGTTACTCTGTATTATCCCAAATTATATTCCATTTCTGACAACATGCCGTAGTGTAAGAACCGAGACTCTCACAGATGCGTTATCACCAAACTGGCAGGGCCAATAGACGCTGCGCATATCATTCCTTTTTCTCTGAACCAACAGGACCGGCGAGCAAGCTTTTTCAACTTGCTTAAAGTTTTATGGTCACAACGGATCGAGAAATGGGAAACGATGCTTTGTAATGGCACTGAATTTCTTGAGAATATGATCTCCTTTACGCCAACACTCCACCGATGCCACTCAGCTGGACTGTTTGGCCTTCAACCTATTGAAGCCTCTTCGGATCGTAAATCACTCAAACTTAAGTTTTACTGGCTCCCGAAACGCGAAAGCCTCGGCAATACAATGACTGATATCACAGATATACCAACCCTTCCTGATGATGTTGAGTTGGAAGATATGAAAATATTCAACGGCAGGGATGGGCACAGGATCAAGTCCGGTGAAGTAATAGAACTTACAACATTAGATCCTGAAAGATGGCCACTGCCAAATTGGGAACTACTGGAAATGCAATGGGTACTACAACGTCTGACAGCATTGAGGGGAGCGGCAGGTTTGCCTGATATGGTTTTTCATGATGAGTTTGAAAGCTCATCAAGTCTTGAGTGTTCTGACTATGGAATGAAAAATAGGAATCTTTTTGCTATGAATTTGGATCATTACGTACCGGATGAAAAGTCTGATATGAATAGTAGCATTAACAAGTGGCTTGATGCACAGGCAGCAGCACAGCAGATTGAGTTCTAGTTTGCAGAGTTTGAAATTGTTGTATAATTATAGTTATGTATTTATTAAGTGAATACTTTATTATTATTATTGCTAATCAGTATGATCAGCTTGATAATTTAATAAGTTCTTTGATTGAACTTCTCACTGTAAGACTCCACACTGCAGCCTTCTTACATTCATCCCATCATTCAAAAGAGGTTTATAAGACCTTCTTAATGCTTAGATGATCATACTTCATGTCATTTGAGATTCATAAACTTCATGACTGATTACATAATCTCACTAATATAGCTGAACACACAAAATCTGTCATGAATGCTTCTTTATGAAGATCAGTGACAACATATCTAGAGACTCTAGATATTGTTGTAGTAATATAAATTATCTCTCTCTCTCTTATGCTTAATTTCTTTATAATCATCTCTCACTCAATCTAATCTCACTTATAAAGACTGTAAATCATTATCACATTATCTGCACCACTTAATTCTCACAGTTTGTGTGAGCAAGTCAATGTGCAGTAGAAGCTCATACAACAAAAGCTTAGTTAGTAGAATATACTTACTGATAACTATATAAATATATATAAATATATAAGTATATAGTTATATATAAGGTTTTGGTGAATGAGTAGGGTGAGAACAGTGATAATAGAGTTCAGAAAACAATAGTATAGAAGAAGTAGTTAATGAATATTCAAAGAAGTTGTTAAATTGTTCAGTTAATTACATTTTGCAGTGGGGATTTTGGTCTTATTTATAGACTGTGAGTTTAGAGTTTGAGTTATGTAAGTTATGGCATATTTGTCTTGATTTATAAGTGTTATGTCATGTGTGATGTAATGTATGATGCAGTATGATGCAGTATATTGTGCAATATTTGCAATAGTTTTGTAAAAAGTAGTTATACTTTTTAGAAAACTGAATTATTATATGAGGCATTTTATAAATTCTGGTTTCAGTGGCTGATACTTTCTATAAACCAGAATATCTATGATGTAGATTTATAGAAAGTTGATATAACTGATTATAAAACTTGTTAAAGTTGAATATAATGTGCAATAGTTTATTAATCTTGAAAATAAACTATGCAACATTGAATTTTATGATGTTATTGATGATGTCACATATGATGACATTTCATATGATGTAATATCATATTATGATGTAATTTGCCATCTCAATTTATTATTCTTTTCTTGATTAATAATTTATACAAGCAATACTATGGTGGTAACTGTGAGGATTGAGAGGTTGCAGGTAACATGACAATGGCTTACAGCTCTTGTAAATGAGCTTAGATCTGGTGAGAGATGGTTATGAAGGGATCCAAGTCTGAGAGAGAGAGAGAGAGATAACTTATATTGCTACAACAGTATCTAGAGTCTCTAGATATGTTGCCACTGATCTTCATAAAAAAGTATCTGTGATAGATTTTGTGTGTTCAGCTTTGCTAGTGAAATCATGTAATCAGTCACAGAGTTTACAAACTTCAGATAACATGAAGCATGATCATCTAAGCATCAAGAAGATTTTACAAATCTCTTTTAGATAATGAGATGAATGTAAGAAGACTGCAACACAGAGTCTTACAGATTTCTCTCTCTTCACAAGTCTTAATTCTCAAGACATTGATGTGATCAAAATCACAGTGAGAGTGACAGCTTCACTGTGATTGTAATGATTTCTTACAAAATCTCTTTTTGATGTGAAGAATGTAAGAAGATCACAACATAAAGTCTTAATTTAATTTCAGTTTCTAGATGTAGATGTGACAGTAAGATCACAGCAAGAGTGACAGCTTCTCTGTGATCATAATGTAGTTGCTGTAGTGACTGTCATTTCTTATAATTCATCTAGTGATACTTAACAATCTCTTGAATATAAATATCTCTTTCTTGATCTTCTCTCTCTCTCTCTTTCTTTTTCTTTTTCAACAACATTCTTCTTTATTTCAGTAAGAGCTCCAGACAAGTATTCTCTTCTTAATAATTATAAATCTTGAAAGACTTCATAAATGACTTTTCTCAGTGCTAACACATTATACAGAGAGATAATTTTGCTGTGTCTTTCTTCTGTTTAAAATTAAGATGTCAAAACATGAGCAACAATAACTCAGCAGATTTAAAGATAAAATTTCAATCAGTTATCATTCAAGACTCTTTTTAGAAATAATGAGAGAAATGTCTTCAGAATCTTCTGCTTCATCTGAAGCAGAATTCTCAATCACTGTCATTTCTTCAGAAAATTAAAGTGAAGAGACATCATTGCTGTCAGTCTTCATTTACACAACAGAGAGTTATGTCTCTGAAGACTATAAGATCTCTTTTTAGACATCATGATTCAGTTAGTCTGATTCTGATTATGATGATGTAAGTGATTTCTCTCTGTTTCTTCTTCTCTTAGTGCTTTGTAATCACTTTTACAAAGTCAGAAATGTTATTTATGAAGTGTTTTCTCACTTCATAATTCTCTTTCTGTGTGCATGGCTGATGACTTATTCAGAGTGCTAATATCTGAACTTAATGAGAACACTCAATGATGTCTACTGTGTTTAGTAACAATTCTTTTTCAACTACTAGTTTTATTGTCTCAGTTGATCAGATCTTGAGAGATAGTGATCATTCATCTTTCAGATCTGAAATTCTTGTTGATAATGCATCATCTCATTTTTCTTAGTCTGATTCATTTCTATCACATTCTCATTCTCAGTCTGTGCTCTATTCTATACTGCATTTATTCTCAAGCATTGATTCTGTCTCTGATGCACTTAAGATATGTTGAGTTGCTTTGTAACATAACTTATGTGACAGTTTCTGCTTCATAAATTCATTTATGAAGTGATATTAAGAGTCTTAGCTAATGCTTTTCTTTCTCTAGAAATCAGTTTCATTAAATTCTTCTCTGTCTGCTGTGTCTGCTTCTTCTTCTGCTTCTGCTTTCTCAGCCTCTGCCCCAGCTGTTAACTTACTGACCAGAACATCAGTTACTATGAGCTATCTTTTACTCTTAATTTCAGATAAGAATTCATCTGATCATGAAAGATGACTTCTTGCTTTTTCTTCTCTTTGATCTGCAACTCTTACTGATCCAACAGACTCTGTTCAGCTGAGAGATAGAGTTCAGCTTCAGAAAGAAGTTCTGATTTTCATGACAGACAATTATCTTTAGCAGTCATGTACAGCATGTCAGAGTAACTCAAGTAGGGTTAGGGTTAGGGTTAGGGTTAGGGTTAGGGTTAGGGTTAGGGTTAGGGTTAGGGTTAGGGTTAGGGTTAGGGTTAGGG